ACTGCCCCCCCGCCTGCCCCCCGCCTGGCCGCCCCGCCTCGTCCGCCCGCTTGGCGCCACCACCCAACCCTGACCCGCCTCACCCTGGCACGCCTGCTTCCCGCCTCTCTCAATCTCGCAATCACACTCTTTCTATTCAACGTGCTGGCGAGTGGCGAGTGGCAGCAAGCCTGGATTCGACGCTCGATGCACAAGGCTACCCCTGCTACACTGCCACGGCCACTGCCACGGCCACCGCACAGGCTCGCTCGTTTATTCAATGGCGCCCCCTCTTCTCACACCCTCTCGAGGACGACGGCGATGCCCTGGCCGCCGCCGATGCACGCGCCGCCCACGGCGTACCGCTTGTTGAGGCGGTGCAGGTTGTGCGTCAGGTTGGCAATGATGCGCGCGCCGCTCGCGCCCAGCGGGTGGCCCAGCGCAATGGCGCCGCCAAACACGTTGGTCTTGTCGTTGGGCAGCTCGAGCTCCTTTTGCACCGACAGGAACTGCGCCGCGAAAGCCTCGTTGATCTCGAACAGGTCAATGTCGTCGACCTTGAGCGACGCCCGACGCAGCGCCAGCCGCACCGCCTCGACCGGGCCGATGCCCATAATCGACGGTTCGCACGCCGTCACGCCGTAGCTCACGATGCGCGCCAGCGGCTTGAGGCCGTACCGCTTGACGGCCTCGTCGCTCGCCACCACGTTGGCCGCGGCGCCGTCGCAGATGCCCGACGCGTTGCCCGCCGTGACGGTGCCGTCCTTTTTAAACACGCTGGGCAGCTTGGCCAGCGACTCGATCGTCGTCTTGGCGCGCGGGTGCTCGTCGACGGAAAACGTCTCGGTGGCCTTCTTGACCTTGACCTCGACGGGCGCAATCTCGTCGGCAAAGGCGCCGTCGGCGTTGGCCTTCTGCCACCGCTGCTGGCCCTGGAGCGCAAACTCGTCGCACTGCTGGCGCGTGATGCCGTACTTTTCCGCCAGGTTCTCGGCCGTGATGCCCATGGGCGTGGGCTTGGGCACCATGTCGGTCAGGGCGGCGGCCAGGCTGTCGACGAGCTTGAGGTCGACGCCGTACTTGCCGCCGCCGAAGCGCACGCCCGACAGCGTGTAGGGCGCCTGGCTCATGCTCTCGGTGCCGCCCGTGAGGACGACGTTGGCGTCGCCCACGCGGATCTCGTGCACGGCGTTGATGACGCTCTGGAAGCCGCTGCCGCACAGGCGGTTGACGGTGAGCGCCGGCACCGTGACGGGCAGGCCGGCGTGGTGGCCAACGTGGCGCGCCAGGTAGGCGGCCGTGTTGTCCGAGGCGTGCACGTTGCCAAAGATGGTGGCGTCCACCTGCACCTCGGAGGGCAGCTGGGCCAGGGCGGCCTTGGAGGCGTGGCCGCCGAGCTGCGAGGCCGTCATGCCGCTCAGCTTGCCGCCAAACGCGCCAAAGGGCGTCCGCTTGGCAGCGACGATGAATGCATTGGTGGCGGCCATCCTGGGTGGGGTGCGAAGAGGGGCGAGGGCGACGAGCGAGAGGGGAACGGTAGAGACAAGAAGGGAGGGGGAGAGTGTGCGAGCGAGTGCGCGTGTGCGTGTGTGGCGAGGGAAAGCGATGCGCGGACAGAAGCGATGATGATGGTGGAAGAGAGAGGGACGAGAGAGGCAAGAATCCAACGTCGGGGTGAAGAGAAGAAAGCGAGCGAGCAGGAAGCCGACCCAGCCCCCTCGAGAGCCAAGCGGGCAGGCGGCTGCCAGCCACGACGGAGAGCCGACCCGATGCTCTCGCTCAACCCCCCGGGGGGGCACAGCTTGGGCAGAGCGGGGCAGAGCGGGGCAGAGCGGGGCGGGGCGGGGGGCACGGCAGGCGCGGAGACAGACCGAGCGAGAGGCAGGCGGCCAGGCAAGGCAAGGCGAAAAAAGGGGTCCGGCTGCCTGCGCACGCGGGGCCTTTCACGCACGCCGCTCGTTTCCTGCGCCGGCTGCTTCGAGTGGCCGGAAGCCGCCCTGCCCTGCCCCAGGCTGGCCCCGCCCCTGCTCCTCTGTTTCTTGCTTCTTCGTCTTCCTCCGCCACGCCCGATCCACGATGGCCTCTTCGCCTCGTCTGCCATCCCTCTCTTCCACCTCCGTCGTCGCTAAAGGCCGCCACCCCTTTCTATCCTCGTCCGACACCGGGGCTGCCTTCTCACCGCCACCGCCCAGCACCACCAACCGACCGAGCTTTACGATGCAGAGTACAGGTAGGTATGCTGCTGCCATCTCGTCGATTCAGGAGGCGCAACAGCAGCCGTCGCCCAAGCAGCATCGACGAACCGGTACAAGACAAACGACAAACCTCCAAACGAGACTAGACTAGACGAAAGCGAAAGCGAAAGCGAGTGGGCAGCCAGGCTTCAACGGCATCCGCGAGCCAACCCATACGAGGCCCGGGGTCCCCTGCCGGCGCCGCACCGCACCGAACATGTACAGCCCCTCTTCTCAACCAACCACGACCTCAGTAGTGTCCGTAACCCGCCAGCCCGACCCGCTCCATCTTGCCCGACGGACCGCGCACCTCGTAGCCGCCCGCCGCCTTGGCCTCGTCGCCGCTGCCGTGGCCGTCGCCGCCGCCACCGGCGTCGTCGTCGTCGTCGAGGCCGAGGAACTGGCGCCGCCGCGCCTCCTGGATGCCCTTGATCGACAGCCCGTGCAGGAACGCGCCCGTCGACGAGCGCCGCTGCATGTTGCTCCGCGGCGTCGCCATCCCGTCGTCGGCCAGCCCGTCGTGGTGGTCTGCCAGGTGGTACGAGTCGTGCTGCGGCCCGTCCTCGAGCTCGTGCGGGTGATGCCCGTTGGGCTGCTCCTTGGTCTCGGTGTGCGGCGGCGGCCGCGCCGGCAGCCTGGCGTTGTGCGCTGTCGCGGCGTCGACCTGCGCCGCCTCTGGATCCGTCGCGCTGGCGTCGTGCTGCGACTTGTCGTGCACCGACAGCTGCTCCATGCCCGCCAGCTCGGGGCTCGACGCTCGCTTGGGCGTCTGGTCGCCCCTGGGCAGCGAGTGCTCTGGATCCTCCTTGAGCGCACCCAGCCGCTCCGGCTCTGGCGGCCTCTCGACGCCGGCGCCGCCCAGCACGCGCAGGTTGCCCGTCTTTGGATCTGCGACGGGCGCACCTTCCTTTGGGTAGCTCTTCTTGGGCTTGCCCCCGCCTCCGCCTCCGCCACCGACGGCGCCGCCGCCGCTTCCGCTGTCGCTGCCGCTGCCGCTGCCCTTGCGCAGCTTCTTCCACGCCTTGAGCGCGCCCTTGCGGATCTCCTCGCCCACGTCGATGACATCTGGGTGGTGCGGGTCGTTGTACCACGCCTGCGAGCCGTGGACGTGCTGCGGGGCATAGTGCTGCCGCGGCGGCGCGGCGGTGCCCTGCGACTGCAGCAGGTGGGCGCGCGCCGCGACGCCAATCGTGATCGAGTTGGCGCGCTTCAGCCGGCCCGTCGTCGGCAGCGGGCAGAAGCGGATGGCGGCGCTGTTGCTGCTGTTGGATGCGCTCGAGGCCACCGAGCTCTGCCGGTTGCGCCCCGGGTGCGTGTCGAGCCCTCTCCCGCGCTCCTCGCCGGGCGACGACGAGCCCTGCGACGCCGAGTACTCGCTGCGCGTGTCGAGCGCCTCGCTATCGACGCTGCTGCCAATGTCGCTCGTGTAGCCAGAGTCGCTGACGCTCTCGGTCCGCCGCAGCGTGCTGCTGGGCGACAGCCGGCCCCCTTGCCCCTGCCCTTGCCCCTGCCCTTGCCCTTGCCCCTGTTGCGATCCAGCCGGCGGTGGCCGCAACGCCTCGGGCGGGACCATGCCGTCGCCGGCCCCCGCATTCTCGCCTCTCGGGTCGTAGGGCAGCACCTCGCCTCCCTCGAACGTCCGCCCGCCATCCGGGAGCGGGTCGCTGCGCTTGAACGTCTTGCCCAGGCGCTGGCCCTCGGGCACCTTGATCTGCTTGCCGGCCGCCGGGGGCGGGAGGAAGGTGGCCTTGAGGGCGGCCTTGAAGCCGCTGTTGGACGTGGAGCCGGTGCGCGAGGCGCGCCTGGGCGGTGCCTCGTGGGCATTGTCGAGGATGCCGCGCGTGGGCTGCTGGCCGCTGGTGTCGGACGACGTGATCTGGCCGCCCGGGCTGATGGCCGTGGGCGACTCGACCTCGTCGGCGCTCGTCGTCGTCGTGATGACGGGCTCGTTTGCGCCCTTGACGTCCTTGTCAAAGGCGGCCGTCCCGTTTGCGCCGCTCATCGTGGGTGCCGAGGGCGCCACTGCCATGTCGATGCGCCGGCCGGCTGTTCGGAGGCGGGGCTCGTGGAAGATGGAAGGTGGATGCGGGCGATGCCTTGCCGTTCAGAGGGGATGCCGCAGAGCAGGATCGATCGACGCCAGAGACGCCGGTCGTGATTGATCGCTCGCGGTCCTCGATCAAGACGATGAGCGCCCTGCAGCGCCGTACGGGGGTGCGGGCGGACGCAGCGAGGGCAGTGTGAGTCGAAGGGCGATGTGGGACAAGGACCGTCCCTCAAAGGCCTGCTTGCGATCAAGATGATCTCCGATCCGATCCGGTCCGAGCGAGTCTAGAGCGTGTCGCGGGCGTGATGGTTGCAGAGACGGTGCTCTGGACGGATGCAGAGGTCCGCAAGTGGAAGCTGGCGCGAGCGTATAGAAGAGAGAAGCCGTTGAAGTTGGTGGAACTGGCTGGTGGATGGTCGAAGAGAGCGACAGGGAGCGAGGACGGGTGGTGGTAGTGGTGGTGGTGGATCGAAGCTTCTGGAGCGGGGTGGCAGACGTGCGGCCCAGTGGAGCGGGGGCGGAGGTGTCTGGATGACGCCAATCGAGGCCGATGGTGAGCGGAGAGAGACCCTGGCGGCGCTCGGTCGTCGATGGCCTGCCTTGCCTTGCCTTGGCTTGCCTGGTGGTCCTTCTTCCGCGAGGTCCGGTAGGTCAGAGCTAGGAGGGTCCGCAGAGTGTAGCCTCGAGGCGGGGCGGAGGCGAGGCGAGGGGAGGCAGACGAGATCGACCCGACGAACGGGGAGAGGCAGGCAGGCAGGCGGGCCGAGACGATGCGAGACGAGGCGGCCAGGCGAGCGTGCGAGGGGATGGTACGGTATGACGCCGCGCGAAGAGGCCTGGCTGGGTGCGAGGCCCAGGCAAAGCGGGGAAGGAAGAGGCGGCAGGGCGAGGCAGGCACAGGCTCAGACACCTAGGCGCAGGGCCAGGCCTGGCCAAGCTGGTTGGGGAGCTGCTGCTGCCGCCGCTGCCTCGACACGGAAATCGAGAGCCGAGGCCCCAAAGCAGGCTACGGCGGCAAGGCCAGCCGTGCCGTCGACCGCGCGGTGTCAGGCCAGCCGGGCCGTGGTGGCATCTGGCCCCAGAGAGGAAAAAGCGCGGCACCGGCCAAAAGAGCGGGGTGGAAAACGGCAAGGCGGCGGCGGGTGGGGTGCCTGACTGATGCAGCGCCAGACGGCCCGTCCGTCCGTGCGTCAGACTAGTCTCTCCCGCAAGCAGCCTGGCTGGCTGGCTCTGGCGCGCTCTCGCTTTGGCTCCTGGCGCCCGGCCCCCCGCTAGCCCGCCCGCCCGCCCCACAAACACCATCCATCCTCGCCCTCTGATTCGTCCGTCGTTTCGCTCTCGCTCTCGCTCTCGTCCTCGTCCTCGTCCCGCTGCACGCCCACCCGCCCGTCCGCCCGCCCCACCCATCTCGCCTCTCCACATGCATGCATGCGGTCCAAATCGATCTAGCCTGCCAGGCCCTGGGTTGCGTTGGGTTGGGTTGGCGTCGAGTCGCGCGAAAAAAAAAACAAAGCCCGATTGCCCTGCGGCCGCCCAACCCGGCCTCGTGGCGAGGGCACCCGCCGGCGTCGTCGCTGATGGCAGGCCCGATACCAACATCGCCCACGCGTCAGTCATCGCATATCGATGGCACGGCCTCAGGCCCTCGCAGGCAAAGCTCAAGCTTGGCATTTGGAGATGTACCCCGCACAGACCGACTACTGCCACATGACAACGGGAGAGCTTCGACGCCACGTCGTATGGCCAGCGCGCGCGCATTACGCTGCCAGGTCCGGGTCGTCAGAGCCGGGCGCATCCTCGTCGGAGCCCAGCGCGTCCTCGTCGCAGTCGCCCTCGAACGGCTGGTTTGGATCGTAGGGTGGAGCGGCCAGCGCAGGCGGCGGCGTCGCTGCTGCGTCCTCCATCGACGGGGATGCCGTTCGTCGCGCGGGCGGAGGCGTGGCATAGGGCGTCGATAGCGCCGCCGCCGCCGCCGCCGCCACTGGGGTGCTCGCTACGTTCAGGCGGTGCTGTCTCGACACCAGGAGGGGGTACTGGGGCGGGATCTGCCCCTGTGGCCGTATCGCGAGCGGCGTCAGGTGTGGGCGCGGCTTCTGCTGCCGGCATGTTCGCAACGTCGACATCGATGGCGACGACAGGGTCGCTGCTGGGCA